TCTTTTATTTTTTATTTTTATCCGTTGATTAGGGCCGGGAGGAAAGTATTGTTGGGTTGGTCCCCTACCTGCGTTTTCCCTCCCACCCACCCCTTGCATACATTTCCGAGCTGGTACAGTGCCACGTCAGCAGTGCCACGTCGGCAACAGTGCCATGTCAGCAGTGCCACGTCAGCAGTGCCACATCAGCAACAGTGCCACGTCAGCAACAGTGCCACGTCAACAATAGTGCCACGTCAACAACAATGCCACGTCAACAGTGCCACGTCAGCAGTGCCACGTCAGCAGTGCCACGTCGGCCAAAGTGCCACGTCAGCAATGCCACGTCCACAGCGCCACGTCAGCAGTGCCACGTCAGCAACAGTGCCACGTTAGCAGTACAACGTCAGCCACAGTGCCACATCCGCAGTGCCCCGCCACCATGACGGGCTCAGTTCTGGGCATGCTAGGCCAACTGGCAAATGAGTCCATTGCCGAGTACCGACAACGTTTCGAAACTCAGCTCGCACTAATCGCGGTTGAGGAACAGCGCTAGCTGGCAGCCGAGGCTCTCCGCCTACAGGCTCAAGCGGCGGCAACAACTGAGAAGCAGCGGCTTCAGGCCGAAGCAGACGCAGATACCCAGGCACGCCGCAAGGAAGCCCAGGATCTGCTGCAGCGGCATGAAACCACCAGCATTGAAAGGCTCAAGTTTTGGCACTTCGAACCATCCGCGGAGCACGATGACGCGACACCAGAGGAGCAGCATAAGGAATTCATGGCCAAGCTCATGACCAGGTTGATTTACACTTGTAACCACCTGCAGTCTGAGCTGGCGAACCTCCAGCGGGCCGTACGAAACCACAAGGATCAGCACGAGGATGCAGCACGGGCACTTGATTCTCGTGTACGGGACTTGGAGCAAATTGCACCAAGACCGAAGGCTGGCGAGTCCAGCAGTGCATCCTCTGCCCGCCAACTGGAGGAACGCGTCGATCACGCAGTGGCAATGCTAGGTGATATTAGCACCTTCGCAGCGCCAGCCACCATCAGCCAGCAGCTGGACACACTGCGATCGCAGCACCAGCACAACGGAGTTGGGGATTCATGAGGTTCCCGAACATCTGTTCATCGGCGCGATGTTCCTCAACGCCAAGGTAGGATGCCAGATCTGGCTCAGCCATATGGCAACCGTCCACGGCGTCCAGGTCTTCGACCTGCACAAGAAGGTCTCCCGGGAGGATCTGACAAAGGAATGGAAGAAACGGTTCATCGTTGACGACGCCCCGACGCTCGCCATCAACCGCATCTTCACGATGGCTCAAGGAAACACAGCGACACGTGATTGGCTCGCGGATTGGCAGAAGATCGTGGCGACGCCCGATTTGGACTTACCATTTCCGCATCTGCGCCGGGAGTTCTACAACCGGTCATGCGCCGCTTTGAGCCTCGCACTTGGTGATCACGAGCAGTACAACACCTTCGCTGAAATCATCAACAAGGCGAGGGAGATCATCAAGATAAACAGGGCAGCTGCACATGAGAAATCAGCATGGCAGCCAACCTATGTGGAGAAGGTGAGAACTGGTCCGCGACCGCAGCATGTCGCTGCAGTCCAATCGGACAACATTGTGGAAGACCCGGCAGCCAACCAAGCGTCACGTGAAGGAGATCATGTGGCTGCTGTCCAGCCGCGAAGCAACAACAAGTCCCGGACAGCCAGCACCATGGGTCAAGTTTCACTTGACCGAGGCGGAACACAAGTGGCACGGCCACTACGGCTGCTGCTATTGATGCAACAACACCAAGCACAAGAACTCCCAATGCCCGGATCAAGGCAAGGAGGATCTTCAGCCTCGTATCAACTCGGAAAACTGAGTTCCGCGGGAGGTGAGGTGACTCCACCTCTCACTCCGCCAGATTCGGCCTCCTTGCTAGCTGCCTCCTACACATCTGGGGAGGATGCGAATGTCGCAAGTCCTCGGTACACTTACGAGGACTACGCTGTCCACTTGGTCCCACCATTGGACCAACCGCTCCACGTGCAACAATCTACCGCATGTACGGTTTCATCACCATCGACAACCGATTCGGCAGCATCGCCGCCATCTACCGTCGGGGATTCAACGTCATGGTCAAGACTTGAAGAGCTCGACCCATTGACATTTGCGGACTTCCAATGGATGCCACTTCCCCGGTCCGGTCGATTGCCGAAACCACATTGCAACGTGCTCATGGCACAATTGCGGGATAACTTGCACACTGCAGTACCAACTCCGTTGATGGACGCCGGAGTAGAGGTTGTCGACCTTCAAGCCTACATTGCGAAGATCGACCGCGAGTTCAAGACACAACGGTACGACGACATCGACGCACCATTGTTATATGTACGCATTCATATCGGAGAGGCGACCTGCAGCGCTTTGATCGATTGTGGAGCATCTCGCAACTACATGAGCCAGGACTTTATGGTACGCGCCGGCCTTGGCCCACGTGTCCGGAGGAAGTCCCAGCCTACGCAAGTCACGTTGGCAGACGGTCACACGCACAAGTCAATAGACCGGTGCATAGATGACGTCCCCGTGTACTTTGCCCTGCACGCAAGCAAGGCGGTGTCCTTCGATATCTTGGACACCAAATTCGACATGATCTTGGGCATGTCATGGCTGCGAAGCGAGGATCACCCGGTGAACTTCTACCGCCACACCGTTCACATTCGTGATCGAAACGGAGTACTAGTCCCATGCACGGTAGCTCCTCCTCACCCTTCGATCAGCTGCCACGTGGTGTCCGCCGCAAGCATGCGAGTTTCCATCATCAGAGATGACATCGAGGAGATGGGGGTGTGTTTTCTCCACGCCCTCCCGCCCCATGACGCTTCATCGACGGACTCATCTTCAGACCCTCGCATCACCGAGCTTCTCGACGCCTACGGCGACGTGTTCACAGGCCCGCACGGAGTAGTGCCGGATCGGCCCATCCACCACGAGATCATCCTCGAGGACGGGGCCGTACCTCCACGCGGTTGCATCTACCGAATGAGCGAGGAAGAGTTAAGTGTGCTACGGGCACAACTCGACGACCTTATGGAGAAAGGCTGGATTCGACCTAACTCATCGCCATACGGTGCTCCTGTTCTCTTCGTCCGGAAGAAGAACAAGGATTTGCGGTTGTGCATCGATTATCGCAAGCTCAACGCGCATACGATCAGAAACGCCGACCCTCTTCCACGCATCGACGACCTTCTCGAATGGCCGGGCGGCGCCAAGTTCTTCTCCAAGCTTGACCTCAAGTCGGGATATCACCGACTCGAGATTCGGCAGGAGGACCGCTACAAGACCGCGTTTAAGACGCGATGTGGGCATTTCGAATGGCTGGTTATGCCATTTGGCCTTACGAATGCCCCGACCACTTTCCAAGCGGCTATGACAACGGAGACCCAACACATGCTGGATCGATTTGTACTTATCTACCTCGACGACATCCTGGTGTACAGCCGGAGTTTGAACGAGCATGTGGAACACCTGCGCACCGTTTTGGAGCGGCTACGACAAGCCAACCACAACAAATGCGAATTCGCGCGGCAGGAGCCGAAGTACTCGGGACATTATGTAACGCCGCAATGCATCCGTCCGCTTGCGGACAAGATCAAGGCCCTCCGCGTATGGCCCGAGCCCACCAACACCACGAACGTTCGTTCATTCATGGGGTTGGCGGGCTACTATCAACGATTCATCACCGGATACTCAAGGATTGGTGCACCTATAAAAGATTACAATCGCCAAAGGTGCCATTCGTATTCAATGACGACGCACGCCGATCATTCCAAGCACTTAAGACGGCCATGCTCATGGCACCCCTCCTTAGCATCTATGACCCCACCCTGCCTACGAGAGTGACAACCGACGCTTCCGGCTACGGCATTGGGGCAGTCTTGGAACAACACGACGGCGACGACTGGAAACCTGTGGAGTATTTCAGCCACAAAGTGCCTCCCATCAATTCGCTTGATAATGCAAGGAAGAAGGAGCTGCTCGCGTTCGTAATGACTCTCAAGCGATGGCGGCACTTCCTCCTTGGCCGTCGTAGGTTCACATCGGTCACGGACAACAACCCATTGACCTACTACAAGACGCATGATACGGTGAGCAGCACAATCGGACGATGGATGTACTTCATCGACCAATTTGACTTCGCACCGAAACATCTCCCCGGCCTCTCCAATCGCGCAGCAGATGCACTCTCGCGAAGACTCTATCTTTGCGCCATGACACCTCATGCCTTCGCATTCGACGAGGAACTTCAACGACACTTCATCCAGGGCTATGAGTCTGATCCGGACTTCGCCACGTTGTATACGCAGCTATCTTCGGATCACCCACCGGCCAGCCACTATCGCATTGCCGACGGGTACTTGCTCCTCCACTCGAGAGGCAAGGACTTATTGTGTGTCCCACGAGACCGTCGTCTTCGGACTCGCCTTCTCGGGGAGTACCATGACTCGCGACTCGCCGGCCATTTCGGGGTCAACCACACTATTGCACGGCTTCGACAACGATTCCGATGGCCCGGCCTCATTACCCTTGTCACTCGGTATTGCGACTCTTGCGAAGTTTGTCGACGAAGCAAGCCCCGCAATCGCAATCCCTACGGCGAGTTGCGCCCGATGCCTATCCCACGGGAACCCGGGAACCCGGCCTCTCCATTGCCATGGATGTCACCGGACCATTTCCCTGCGATCGCCTCGGGCACGACGGCATCCTCACGGTTGTGGACCGTTTGAGTAAGTATGCGCGTTTTCTCCCTTGCAAGTACTACTCCACGGCTCCCGAGCTGGCACGCCTCTTGCACACCGGTTGGATTTGTGGCCACGGTGTACCAGAAGACATAGTAAGCGACCGCGGCACTCGCTTCATGTCCGCATTTTGGACTGCTCTCATGCAGGAGTCCGGCACGAAGATGAAACCGAGTTCGGCTCGGCATCCACATACGGACGGGCAAACGGAGCGGGCATGTCAAACCGCTCAAATGATGCTTCGTACGCTCATCCATTCGAACCAGAAAGATTGGGTTGACCGCCTCCCCGACATCGAGTTCCCCTACAACACTTCGGTGCACCCGACGATCGGCGTGACTCCATTCGAGTTGCACCAAGGTGGACGGAAAGGCCGTATCTTCGCCGACCTTCTCCTCCCACGACCAGCCGACATCGACGCCACTTGCTCTCCCGCTTCCGTCCGGAAGTACAGGGAATTGCTGGCTCAAGCCCGCGGGAACATGCAAAAGGCTCAAGTCCGCATGCAGCAACAAGCCAACAGGCGTCGCGTGCCACGTCCCATCCACGCCGGTGATCTAGTTTGGGTCTCCGCGGAAGAGTATGCACTGGAACAGGATGTTTCACGCAAACTGCTTCCCAAGTGGTTTGGACCATGGCCCGTAACATCAGCCGCGGGCGATGAGCCCAATGGCCCTTCATTTGTGATCATCATCCCTTCGCATCTGATGGTCCATCCAGTCTTTCACGCCTCGAAGCTGGCAACATATACACCAGCTAAGAGCGACGACTTCCCGGGCCGACGATCACAGGACCCTCCATATATGGATGGTCATCAGGAAGTTGACCGCGTCATCACGGATCGCAAGTATGGCAGCAAACCTCGCCAATACAAAGTTACATTCAGAGCATGCGATCCCGACGACACTCGGTGGATTTCAGGAACATATTTGAAAGCATCCGCACCGCTGATCTACTCTCACTACGAGCGACAAAGGTTAGCTTAGGGACCTTCACGACCTGCCCCTCCCACCCGGACTGTGGTCCCTCCCTCAGACAGACAGCTTCGCCCTCGCAGGTAAGCTCGGTCTTTCAAGGAGGGGGGGGTGTGGCATACTGCGTAGCCACACGGGCCTGCAGGGCCCGTCCCGCATTCCCAGCCTAAAAGCCTAGAAATAAGGGCTTACAGGCCCCTGTCGTTTCAGCATGAAAGACTGAAAAACGAGGGCCTGCAGGCCCTATGTCGTTTCAGCCTAAAACAGGGCTTTTCAGCCTGAAACGGAGGACCACTTTCGGGCCCTCATAAGATCGACCTGTCCTAACACTCAGGCACAAAACCAGGGTTTCGGGAACAAGCTATCTTTAGCCTGTTCCCACGACAGCCTCAAGCAGGAGCTGCAGCAGCAGCCCTTGACTCCCTGTGGCATCGGCAAGAGCAGCCTCCTGGACTGCCTCGCCCTGTAGTTAGGAGGCAGGCTGAGAAGTACATAGGGAGTTCCCATGCACTTCACGGTAGGTAGTTGGACAGACGGCAGGAGTAGTCTTCAGCATTCGGCCGCAGCACTCAGGAGGAGCGCTGCAGGAGTAGCTTAGCAGTAGCAGTAGTCTTCAGCGCTGGGTGCTAGTAGCTATAGCAGTAGTCTTCAGCGCTGGGCACTAGTAGGTGGTAGTAGTAGTGTTGAGGAGAGATGGCTGGCGGAGGCCAGCGAGACTTACCTGCGGCGCCATAGCTCCAGCTCCATCTTCGAGGTACGTGCATCAAGGCGCCACCTTCACAGGTTAGTACCGGACTGAGAGAGAGAGTTCTTCTTCTTCCTCTTCTAAGTCCACCATCTCTTCTTCCCCTCTCACCACCTGACTTCTCAGTATCATCGGACTACTATAGAGAGAGAGAGTTGTGACTTGAGACTTGACGACATTGGATCCAAACTCAACATTGGGATTCAAACATTTTGACGAGGGACTATTTGGGCCTGTGCCGAAGACTTGGTGTTGACGACATTCCCATCTTCCCCTCTTCTTCGTCTAACCCCCCTCTTCTTCGTCTGTGTATGGTTGGGGCTGGTGCATTCTTCCTGTTTGAGCGCCAGACCCCTTCACACCATGGAATGATGATGATGATGTATGTTAAGGGCTGCATTGCAATATTGATTGTTCGGATCATTGGTATCTAAGTCTTCCGCTACGCTATCTTGTACTTTGTATTGAGAGGTCGGTTCTTGTTCGGGTCTGCACCGATACAGTATGCAACAATACGGCTTCGGGACGACGGTTCAGATGAGGCCCCAAAAGGGGCCTGGACCACGGCGGTTCAGGCAGGCCCAGGCCAAACGGCCACAAGGACGGTACCGATCCAGCCTAGGACCTACCGGCAGGGGTTCAGAGGCTGCCACAATTTGGCGCCAACCAGTTTCAAAACTGGACCGTTGATCTAGATCAATGGTCCAGGCCGGTAGATACAAGCGAGTAGGAGGTCGGCCCAGCACTACCAAAGGTTGGGTACCAGCCTCAGTAGGAGGTTAGTTTGAATGAGAGTTAGTCTTCAGGATTAGCGCAGCTGGACAGCGTTAAGCAGATTAGCGCAGCTGGACAGCGTTAAGCAGATTAGCACAGCACAGCAGCGTTAGAGAGAGCAGCCAAGAGACAGCGAGCGCAACAGCGAGAGGAACAACGCAGCGGCCCTGCCGCGCCATCGCTACCAGTCAGGTATCGGGAGGAAGGCGCTGCCTTCTCTCCCTTTGTTCCTCCGCCCGAGCTCTCTCTCTCTCTCCCTCTCTCTCTCTCTCTCCTCCTACCTTCTCAAGTCTAAGTCTACTTCTATTTCTCCTACAGGACTACTGCAGTATGGGAGATGGTTACGAATGTTGATGACATCTAAGACAACGATATTGGGACTACGAATTGAGGACTAGTTCAGGATCTGATTTCATCTTCCTTCCGGAGATGTACTTGACATTGTGAGGTCAACATTTGGGATATTGTGAGACTTGTCATTCGCGACATTTCGGATTTTCTTCACTTTTGACAGTTCAAGATACCATCTTTGGAAACATTTGAGTTGATGTCATTTTCCCTCTCCTCCTCCTTCGTCTCTCTCTCCTCTCTCCCTTCGTCCGTGTATGATCTCAGCCCCTGGCCCTTCGTCTATACTCAAGGCTAGGGCATTTACACCCTGATGAATGTTTGAGAGTGTTTCGATTGTAGTCCGAGTCAGGTCCGAGTCAGTCCAAAGGTATCTCAAGTCTTCCGCTTGCATTTTGTATAAACTTTGTATCATCTGGTCGGTTCTGGGAATCTGCGCCATACTTATGACTGTGTTTCACGAGTATGCAACACCACGTCAGCAGGCCACGTCAGCACGACACGTTAGCAGGCCATGTCAGCCGACAACAGTACCACGTCAGCAGGCCCCCGGCCTGGTCTATGCTGTTGCGTTCACAAACAGCCGTCATGGACCAGAGGTCCGGGGAAACAGACGAGGCCTATCAAGCCCGGATGCTGGCCTGGAGTACCGAAACCAAGAGACGGGCGGATGCCGCAGCAACACCAGCGAAGAAGAAGGCAGAGGACGCCGAGCAGGCACGTCTACTGGCACTTGAACAGCAGCGCCAACACGACGAGGCAGCAGCAAAGGCTGCTGATGAAGAACGAGTTCGACGGCGGGAAAAGATATTTAGCGGAGAGCAAACTTTGCTCACAATGGCAACGGATTGGCGGGCCGAGGCCGAGAAAGGCAAGATGGAGGATAGCGAAAACAAGATCGCTCTACTCCTCTCCCATCTGACGGACCTCCTGGCAACATGCATTACACAGCAGGAGGACATCCACAGCCTCGACGACGCGCTGACTCAAGTCCACGCGCGCCTCCGGCAGCTGGAGCAGCGACCTGTTGCCAACCCCGATGCCAACTCTTCCAACACCTCCGATCGGCTCGAAGCATTGGAGATGGACGTCGGCTCCCTCAAGGACGGCGTGCAGTTACAGCAGACCGCAACGCAACAGTTGGAGCAACGGATCTGTACTACGGCCAACAACTCGAGTTCGAAACCACGCGAGACAACTCCAAAGTTTGACGGGCAGGAGATCTTCTGCGACTCGACGAAGACAGATCCGATTCCATGGTTCCACAAGTTCGAGCTCACGCTGCAGCTACACTACGTCAACGAACACAAGCACCACGCGTACTTATACTCCCGGTCGAGGGTCGCGTGCCAGGCATGGTTGGACAATCTCTTGTCCAAGTACGGAGTAGTAGCTGCAGACTTGCATACCAAGATCAGTTGGGATGATCTGAAGGCGGCGTGGCACAAGCGGTTCCAAGTAGAGCCCTCGGAGATCAAAGCTATGGACAAGCTAATAATCTTTGAACAAGGCACGCTGCCGAGTGTCGACTGGATTTCCGAGTACCGACGCTTGACATCAGTTCCAGACATCCAGATGGGCTTCAAGGCCATCCGTCACTATTTCATCTCAAGGTCATATCCGACACTAAGCAATGCCCTGACTCACGTCCAGGACACCTTGACGACAACGGCGGAACTCTTTGACAAGGCCGCGCAGATCATTATCACGAATAAGGAGGCTAAGAACCTACGTTCGTCTGCGCCAGGCCCGAGCAGAGCCCAGCATCGGCCAAGAGTGGCCGTGGTCACGGCGACAACGTCGTTTGACCAATCTAGCGAGGCCGTGTCTGCCAATGAAGGGGACAGACTCGCAGCCGCCCGGGGAGGTGGCCGCCCCGACAAAGGTTGAGGACGCGGCAAGGCGAAGACAAACACCGCATCTAGCCCCGAGCCCGGCGCAACAGCTCAAGCCCCATGGTCCCAATATGGTCTCTCCGAAACGGCGTACAAAGCACGCACGCGATTTCACTATTGCCTATGGTGCAACAGCGATCTCCATGAGACCATGGCCTGCCCGTAGAAAGGCAAGGGCAAATCGGAAAACTAAGCACCGCCGAGAGTGACTCGACGACACTCTCGATGCCTTCAGAACCGGTCGCTTCGCGGGTGACCGCCCTTCGTTCCAAGGCACATGCGAAAGTCGATAGTCCTCCTCTTCTGTATTCTTTTGGGGACTATGTTGTCCGGCTCGTTCCCACGCCGGGTACTCAAGCTAAAGGACAAGACGTGTGTGCGGCATCTTCTCCGTCTGGCAGAGGTGACTTATCTTCTTCAAGTGGTTCTTCACGGGATTCGGCGCGCGAGTTCAACATAGAGGTATTGGACCCGCTCACGTCCGAGGACTTCGCATGGCTTCCTCTTTTGACCACGGGCCGCCTGCCGGGACCGCAATGCGCAGCACTATGCGCTCATCTCCAACACATATTTATCCTTCTATGCACCACCAACTTCGCCGACGGATGACGAAGTCGCGGTGGGGGACATCCTTGCGTATGTTACCAAGGTGGCATGCGAGTTTCGCACGCAGCGGTACAATGACAACAACGCACTGCTCATGTATGTCCGCATCCAGGTTGGGCAAGCGTCCTGAAGCGCTTTGCTGGATAGCGACGCGTCTCGCAATTTCATGAGCCAAGCCTTTATGCAAAGGGCTGGCCTTGGCGCACAAGTTCGGAGGAAGGCAAACCCGACGGTGATCAAGTTGGCGGATGGAAAGACGCAGCAACTTCTCGACCGTTACATCGAGGCCGTACCGGTGTATTTCGCACCTCGTGCATGCAAACCGTGACGTTCGACATTTTGGACACGGACTTCGACATCATTCTGGGAATGCCTTGGCTTGCAAGTGCCGATCACAAGGTCAACTTCCACCGGCGGACTCTTAGCGTTTGCGACGCCTTTGGCGCCGAAGTGGCGGGTACTATTCCTCTTCCGCACCCTTCAATTCATCTGCCCTGGCCTACAGCCAGGGCCTATTTGGCTATTTGCCCAGTTCAGCCTGTGGGACCAGGCCGTGGCCTGACCCCACAGGCCGTGTGCTGTTCTAGTCCTGCCCGGTACCACTGTCGGTACCAGTCCAGTCCAGTCCAGTCAGTCAGTCCGCTGGGAGTATACCCCAACAGTTGTCTGTTTTTCGACATTCTTCACTTTCGCAGATCTTGGAGTACGTGCGTGTGGAGTCTGCGTCAGAGCTGCGCTGTCCTTTCCAGCTCCATCTCTGTCTCCTCCTTCGTCCACCCTTCTTCTCCATCCCGGCGAGTCCGGCACACTGGTATCGGAGCGCGAACGGTCCCCGCTCTAGCCCGCCCTTCCCCCCGCATGCAACAGCGGGTGCGGGATCGGTGTAATCCCGACAGAGGGATTTTCAGGTGTTTTTCGGTGCGGCAACAGAGAAAAAACGAGAGAAAAGCAGCAACGGGTAAAGACTGACACGTGGCGAAAAAGGAGAGTGCCACCACGCACACGCACGCGCCAAGGCCAAGGCCGCCGCACGCGCGCGCGAGCGACGCGCCCACGCTGCCCCGCTGCCCCGCCCCGCTCCCGAATATATTTTATCAAGATATCCGGGATGTTGCTGCTGCTGCCATGGTTTGAACCTGGGCAGGCAGCACTCATGCGCGTGCGTAGCCAGTGCTATAACACACTGGCCAAACTGTATGCATGGCTGT